CCCTGCCCGGCTTCCTGATTGGATGGAAAGTCGCAGCCACACTCCCATGCAGCTTCCCAGACACCGAGGACTGCAGCTGTTATGTGAAGAATGTAACTGGCAAGTGCTGCTGAGCTGGTCACAGAGAAATCTTTGTGATCTCTCCACTAGCTCAGTGACTAAAAATGACGGTTGCGGTGTTGCGCTCGGGGTGATTAGGGTGTGCCCAGGCACACCCAGCACACCCTGTGTGCCTGCCTTTGATACTCATATTATTTGCAAATGGCCACTATGAGATGCAACTTGTGTAGCTTACTCCACAGGCAGGCATTTCTTCCATCTGTTTATCAATCCAGTTCTGGTCCTGGCATAGCCTAAAGTATATAACTGAAATGTGGACTTATCAGAATACAAGATAACACCAATATGTACAAGTTTGGGGTTTACATGAGCCATGCATACAACTTTGTACATATTGGTGTTATTAAAATATAGGGGAAAGAGGCAAGGAATTAAGATTATGCCTGATCCCTTGGAGGGTAGCTAGTTTGGAACTGCCAGAATACAACATCGTTTCCCTTTTCATTTCTTCTATTTAATTAATGAATATAGTGTAAAATATTAATTCTTTGATTCCAGAGTATCCATCTGTCTTTCCTCCGCACGGTCCCACCATACTCGCACCAGGCTGTGGTCTGGTTTGAGATGATGCGTATCTTTGGCTGGAATCACGTCATTCTCATTGTGAGTGATGACCATGAGGGCCGGGCAGCCCAGAAGAAGCTGGAGACCCTCTTGGAAGAGAGAGAATCCAAGGTCAGTATGTGGACATCATACTGAAATTTATGTTGTTTTATTTTTCTTCCTTGTGATAACCAGTTCTCCTCAGATTGTTCAATGTATGTAGATTCTTGTACGTTGAAACATATTTATCTTTTCATCGTAACATGACAAACATAATGCTGAAACATCTAGACTGTCTCACTAGCACCTGACAAACCTTTGTACTGGTTTCATCTCACATGCTTTGCCGAGGGCCAAAATCTCCTTAAATCAGTCGATAAAAGGGAATAGCCTGGAGCTTTGCAAATATAATGCTAACACAGTAATAAACCAGAAATACATAACTAGATGCACAAGGAATATATATGAAATGGTAGGCACTCTGACGGACCAGCAGCTTGGCTGAATTGGCCAACGATTTGTAGTTAGTGTCTTTCTGCAGGTATGTGTACAATGCAGCTTCTCCGCGAGCTCCCACCGCTGACATCAACATCATCCGCCCACATCTCCATCTGACACGCGCTAAGCACCGCTTTGCTGACATGGCTCATGCGATAGATTGAAACCTTGCTGGCTGCCCAGCTCCTGGAGAAGATGCAATGTACTAAACAAGGGACAGACCCAAATTTGTAGCAATGTAAGCTTTGCTTAGCAAGCTGCTGCTGTAATTTATGTGAACATTGCAGTAGTAAAACACAGACTTTTTGAACTAAAAGACTGACTGTATTTATAAGTATTAGGAGATGGAAAGTAGAAGCATTGGCCATAACAACCAATCATATTGCAGCTATAATGTTTCCAGTGCTGCCAAAGTTCTAGTCTTGCCAATCCCAGGGGTATGGTAGCCAAGGTACCAGCCAACTGGTGAATTTCTTAATCTTTTATGTGTTTGTCTATGGTTCCTGAGAAGGCCATTGGGCTGCTGGAAAATGTAAAAGCAAAAAGGTGATTGGTTGCTAATGGAATATCTCTGTTGCTTCCTTTTTTTAAAATGTCTGTTTGCCAGACTAAAGGACGTAGCAGTTGACAGAGCATGCACAAAATTCAAATGGTAAAATAGAGAAATAAAGTAAATATAAATAAAAAATATAGTAAGCAAACGGTCAAATATTATTGTAAAAAGGACTCTGACTCATCAAAGTACATGTAGTTAAAGTGGACCTGTATTTTAAATTATTAGAAACAATATTCACTTTCTGCTTGTTCTTACCTTTAATAACCAGTAAAGCTTCTTTTGTACCCCTTCAATTTAGTTTTATTGATTACTGGGGCTTTATTTCCTGGGCTTTACTTTATCTAATTTGATGGCTATGCCCCACTACCTCCGATCCCCCTGTTTCAGGAAACCACCTCAGTGGCCAATACAGGCCCTTTGCTGAATGGTAGCTGGTGAAGCTTAGCCAGAGGAAATCAGTCCCCATTAAGAAAATAAAATTAAATCATGCGCATTACTTTGCTACTGCTACTTAAAGGGGGCTGTGGGAGATGGGAATTCCTCAGTGTTTCTGCTGGAAGGTGCCTTAATGAAGTAATACATTTGCTAGAAATTTCCATCAGAGCAAAACCTGCATTTCAAAATGATCAGCAGATCCAAAGATACAGGTAAATAATGTATATGCAAGTTAAAAGGTTGAGCTTTGTCTTGCCCTCTCCCACCTCACAAAGCTCGCTAATGGTCCATTTATGTGATAGGCAGGCTCAGTGACTAATAGAAAGGCTAAGTAGGTGGGAAGGGATGTGGCAAAGTCATACTATTCATATTCTTTTTACTGCCAATATGTCTGGATACACAAATCACTCTTACATGCAGTTTTCACTGAAGGTAACTTCTACTTCTACTTTTTATATCATATGCTCAGACTGAGGTACCCAAGTTTGTGACAGGTTTACTTCCAGAGCCCCTTAGAACCTCATGTAACAATAAAGCATTAAACTACAAAATAACACAAAGCATGTAATTAATATCAGTGCAGAAAAAAAAAAAAAGCAAATAAGTCTAGACATACAGTATTTTGTTTTCTAATTTAAAATGCATATTGGCATATAAATCTAACACAAGAACCTTCCTAACAAAAAAGATGTATCAGCCACTGAGTTCATGAATAATACACAAACAACTTTATCTTGTAGAAACACTTCCAAATTGATTCCTTAAAATACAGGAAAGTCACTGAAGAGAGTTAGCAAATCCCCAAAAGTTAGTATATCAATATTACAATAATATTAACCACCTCAGTAAAAAAATAAAACCCTGGTCTAAAACAAAAACAAGTAAATGATAATAATGATGATAATAATAACAATAATTGTAAAAATGTTATCAATTTACAATTTGGCTGGTTAATAAATGTAGACCATTGTGCAAAGAGTGCTATGTATGGAGGAAATGTACTTAGTACAAACAGAGACAAAACTTAGTGACAAAAGAAAAGAGGAATCAAATTATAACGGTCAGAGAGATAGTGATAGCTTATGTTTTGATGGAGTCTGGCTGTAATTGTTTGAGTTTACTTTGTTCACCTATTTCTGGCCATTTTTTGGGTGTGTTAATCTAGGAACACCTAATGTGGTCAAGCTTAGAATACCCAGACAAGCAAATGCTATATGCCACTTGAGTTGCAATGTTAATAAAGAAAGGTTCTTAAAAGTTTTAACTACCCCTTAGTCAAGCTGTGCTTGGCACTTTTGCTAAGCCCAATTCAAGCAGTCTCAACAGAACATGACCCTACCGAAATGTTTTCAACTGCACTTGGCAAATAACCAATACATTAGATCACAATGGGATCACTGAACCCTATAAGTAGCAGGCAGGGGGTGCAGGCTGTCTGCAGTGAGCACATTGGATGTACCTGCCCATGAGAACAGAAGTCATATAGACTTCTTCATCTTAGCTTTTAGGCATGATAACCAAGTTTGGAGGAGCCTCTAAAGTTGCTTACACACAAAATAAGAGTTGTTGATAAAAGCATTTAAAGATTTGCTTTGTACAAACATGCTGGTCACTGATAGATGTGTATTTCTAGAATTGAATCTAATGTCCATAGGTACCTTAAACTGATTTTCTAGAAAAGTGCATACTGCAATCATTGTCTGGGGTGGAGGGATTTCCCAATTTGGAACCCCTGCTACCACTTAACAGCTCCAAAACCTGCATGGAATTTCTTGGGATTTTTAGCTTTGATTTGGATACTTATTAGTTTTCAATGGGGTTGATGTCATAAAGAAGTAGACGCTGTTTATATAGCAAAGTGCATGCTGGAAAGATATCATGCATAAGAGAAAACAATAAGATTTTTCTAGCACATGTTTGGTTGATAGAAATTAACATAGCTTTACCTTATTTTGCTTAGTGAACAATCTTTACCCCTTTTGTATAATCAATATCAAAAACTATTTAAGGACAGGCAGTGTGGCAGCTTGAGGGCTGCTGGATGGCACTAATCAGAATGCGGG